AAGGATGGACACCAAACTCATATCCAACTTACAGCGGAGTGCTCCAAAGCTTTGATCTGAAACTTACCCGATTTTGCATGTTCTCCAATGACCTATTCAGCTGAGTGGCCTTGTCAGTGATCAGTCGCTATATAAGCCGACCACGGGGCACTCTGAGTGTCTTGATTCTAGACCAAAAGAATATGAAGCCAGTAACCGAAAATGGCCCTTCATAATGTTGGATATGATCACAGAAAAAAGCCATCGTGTTCACCAAATCATTAATTTTTCCAACAACAGCAAAAATTCAGCCATCGTGTTCACCAAATCATTAATTTTTCCAACAAGGCTGCGTAGCCAAACAAAGATGTCGCTGCCCACTTATTTTTACTAATTAGCTTAGAAAGATTAAGAAAAACTTTTAAACTCTGCATATTTCCAGGATTGACATTCAAATTGTTTAAGTATGGTTTTACAAAAAAAAAGCAATATGGTGAGATGAATGAAATGAAAAAATTGTGCGTAGCTCAGTTGCTACACAGTATTGAGTTATTGGGAATTCTGGCCAACTGCATGACAATTTATCGCGCGTGAAATATACAAGAAATGTCTTCGATAGCAGCCCTGCACTGTCCCAATCGTTTTGTTTGAGTTCGCTTCTAAGCCGCCGGTGAGTGCGGCGGTCATTCGATTTAGCAATGAAGTTATCGTGAGATACATCTGTATCCGGTGCTAAAATACGATGCAATCAATGTTAAAATACAATGCCGATTTTTCTCTAAATTGCGATGAATTGTCACTGCGTATTACCCGATCTTTCCATAACTGATGATTGATTGAGATAGCTGCTGGACTTATTTAGGTCCATAAGGTGCTAGGCATTTTAAGATCGGTTAAGCATCGATTTGAGGTTTACTTCTATGATGGCCGGTTATTGCGATTCTGTGAACATTTTATGTAACGTTAATTTTGCAAATTTAGCCATACATATAGTGAACAAAGCCATTGACGCGTGTAAATGGAGAGTTACTGCAGTAGACCAGTTTGCATTTCAAACATGGCGGCAATTCAGAAAAATAATCATTTATGAAGTTAATAGATTTCGAAGTTAAAAAAAGTATAGAATTGCTTTATATTAATTTGTTTCGCGAATAATACTACTCCAATTGAATGCTAAAATGCAAGTTTGTATGTAAGATGAATGAGAAACAGAAACGAAACGAATGTTCACTCATTTTTAATTTAATGCTGTGTAGAATACCAAAGTTATGAATTATTTGGACTATAATTTCAATCATTAACATTTTTACAAGTCTGGCATGAAGAACAGCGCTTCTATATTTTTCCCATGCTCGTACATTAATCGCTACTGCAACCACGAACCAATTAATTCGGTCTTCCCGGACGTTGTAGTACTTCTTGTCGCGGAAAAGTTGGCAATTGTTCCCTGCCGTCCCACAATATTCTCTTCTTATCGCTGATCCACATTGTGTTACTACCGTAGCCATCGAGTATTATAAAAATAATACAGTCTATCGAAAGTACTTATAACACCATATCAGCACGGGGAATGGAATAATTAAAAAAATATTCGGGAGTTTTTAAGGGGGGTGTATACCTTAAGTTTTAGGATTTGGCTTTTCCAGTTTTTAGTCTCATCTAAAGCTGACATTCTGCCCTATCCAACGGTACCATTACCATCTCTGTACGTTGATTTATGCGTTCACGGCAGATCATGAAAGGGGGGAGGGTGGGGGAGCTCTTTAACAAATAAGATAGGAGGTAATTCGCTGCCCAGTACTTTAAATACAGTGTCTGCTTGAGGTGCAGCTCAGCAACCCGCCTGGCGCCGTATGAGGAGGTGTCATGCAGTCGCTCCCACCATCCTTGAGTGGAATCAAGCTCCAGTAACGTTTAGTTTCGAATCCTTGCTACATTGAGTGCTGCCTATGGCGATGCGCGCGGGACTTTGTCGCACTCTGCTGAACATTCACACTTATTGTCACGGCAAACCTATCTCCTCCTAGAGTTTTGAAGCTACAGCGATGAGACATAAACCATTCGATTTGTAAAGACCATACCTATCGAGTTATGGAGTTTTTTTATATTTGTGCCTAGTTTGAATTCAAAATGGGGGGAGGGAAATTTGAAGAAAATGAGAACAAAAATGAGAACAAAACGGAAAAATTCGAGTAAACAAACTAAGGCTAAAATAAAAAAAAGGGCTCGATAACTCAATAGGTATGGTTTTTACGAATCAAATGGTATATATTTCTTTGCTGTAGCTTCAAAACTCTGGGAGGAGATAGATTTTTAAAGTACCCATTTTTTGGTCCGTTTTCTGTGAATTTCACGTTTTTTATTAATTTTTCCGAAAAACAATTATACGAACAAAATGTGCTTGTATTTCAGTTTTACATATAGGTGTGAAGTTTCAGAAAGATCCGTTAGTAAATGTGGAAGTATTTTTGGAGGGTATACCCGCCCTTAAGATCTCTCTGCATTCATTTATCAAAACTGGCACGAGTTATTGCTTAGACTAGCATTACCGAATTAAAATTTTAAACGAAAATTAATAAATTACAACCTGAGCAAATAATACATTTTGTCAAGACCACAGATTAATTATGTCAAGCCATTTGAGGTAATTGACAGAAGACATAAACTACTAATACCGCGAATTGGTTATATAAAGGTGCCTCCTGTACACAGGGATAGTACTAGCCGCTAGTTCATCCGCCGGTTGAACTGTCCACGCTACTAGCCTCGTGTAGATGATTAGAAATAGGAATAAATAAGATAAGAATAGGGGGATTTGGGGGTTGAGATGCAGAGTTTGAATTAAGGGGTGGAGCTCGAGCCGCCTAGCACGCAAGTCATTCATGATTTGATGCGTTAATGTTTTAGGTAAGGCGGCCGGGCAAGCGACTGTGGTAACCCATGATTGAACTACTAGTATTTCAACCATGGTGGTAACCGATGCCGGGTAGGCGACTGTGATTGAATTGTAGCAACTAATTAATTAATTACCAACTAAACTCTTTATCCACAAATAACAAACAAGCTATTTCTTCACAATGACAACTAAGCTATTTATTCACAATAAACTTCTTCAGAGTTGACAGAATTTTTTTCACGTTTCGTTTGCACTTGGTTCACCAAACGCTAGTTTCAGCGCCCTGTGCACGCTAAACTAATTTCGCGTTTAGTGCACTATGTTAAAACGCAGCGGGCAAAAAAAATGGGAATGTATGATAAAAAAAATTTTCGTAGAGTCTTTTGCGAATAAATAGCTTCGTTGTAAATTAAACCTCAAGATTGGTTCAATTTGCAAAATTTATGCATAGCAGACGCGGTAAAAATCAGCATTTAGTGTGGTAATTAGAATAGAAGAGGACAAGAAAATCTATCAGTGCTAGCAGGAGCGTGTTGACAGCAAATAGTTATGTTGTTTATTTTATCAGGATCGGTTTCGATTTGAAGAACTTTTGCGTGGAAAACCTTAAAAAGTTTGCCCCAAAAGTTCGATGCCGTGGTTAAAGGTAAAGGCTCTCCATTACTGGTATCACGTTTATGCACGTATTTTATTAATACAATCATCCATTTGTATCGTAGTTTAAGGTAGTAAAGTTGAGAATTTCATTGAAACGAGGAGTGAGTTGAATTTAAATTTTAAATCTTGAATGTTTGTATTCGTGGAGCCGCGGAACGGACCCATTTCATCGAAAGTAAAATCCAAGCGGGAATAAATGGCTAGAAGGCATCAAGGGAAGTACAGTGGCAAAAGGCAAGTCGAAGCGCCTGCGTCGCTACCAGCTACGCACCAGCTTTGCGGTTCATACTGTGAAAAATTAGTTGATTTGAATGAATTGATCATAGAAGAAAAGATAAAAACATCAAGTAATTTAGAGCAGTAAATTCAAATTAGGTTATAGTAAACTAAATCGATTCACCTGAGATTAAATTGCCACTCAGTGTGCTAACGCACTTTTGGGAAGAATTGAATTTGATGAAAAATTAAGAAATCAGTAGCAGGTGGATGCTTCAGACGTAATGAAAGTAAGGAATGTAGAAGATTGATTCGTTGAAATAAGATTAAAGTTTAAGCGATTTGGCGTAAACTATAAAATAGAGAATGAGTTGGAGCCGCATCCACTTAAAGCTGAAAAAATTGCAATAAATTCGACAATTGAAGTTAGAAGCATCGCACACGATTATTTAGCAGAGATTTGAGCGAACTTAATAAAACGAAAGAATATCGGACACTCAAACCAAGGAATAGATAAATCACAGAACAGGGAAGATAATTAGTAGGGTTGCATGGTGATGTAGCGGCGACAGGCTGGCTGGAGATCGCAAAAGTAGGTGTTGCTACGGCGGTGTATCAGTGCGAACTTATCATTTCAGGAAACCCGGTTTTGACTTACACTGCCCTAACATTAATCTTCGACACGTGTATATTTTACCGTATCAAAGTTTCAATTAACAATTTTGATCACTGACTTCTCTGAAATAAGTGTGAAATGGCAAATAACATTATTATGACAGTTCATGTAATTTACCACTTAATTGACTGCATGAGCATGCGTCTGATAAAGAACGCACGATGCATTGGAGTATTGGAACGCACTTTACATTGAGTATTTCTAGTTCTTAGTCTACGGAGTGGAAGAAAGAACATCAAAGAAGTGAAAGAGATCGCTGGCAGAGGCACATGGCAAGATGATCTTGAATTCAATATGTATCAATCGGATTGTTGCTTAATTTTGAAAATAAAATCTGAAAATTTCAAGGTGCTAAATTTGAAAAACGTCACGTATTTGAACAACGATTCACAATGCAGAACACACTTTTCGTTGTCTTACTATTACGAGTGTCGTTTAAATTTGAATATATAATGAGAAATTTGATTATTTCTATTGAAATTTGGAATTACGTGCTGAATGATTCAGAACCAGCTGATCAGTTATCACTTCGCGCGCTGAACCGCGCTCACGCAGCTCATTGCTGTGGAAGTCGGTGAGGCGGTTGGTCGCCCGGGAAGTTCCCGTGCACAGTGCACACAGATAATCGTATACGCAGTGAAGAGGAGAGTAGCAACACTTTACTGCTAGACTTGGTCTGGGAAGCATCTATCCTAGACAGAATAGGTGTCCTGTCACGAGATCAGTGTTGCCTTATGATATTTGTGAAAATCTTTCTCCGTGGCACAGTGGAATCATGATTCGCGGGTTAGGTTGCTCGTTGTGATGTCACGCACAGCTGCAAGGCTTCCTTCCAAATTCAGTGGAGCGTTTCAATTGTGTTCGAACAAGATACGTAACTCGATGAGGGCAAAGCAGCTCCATGACTTGAAATGTAAATTACCATTCTTTAATCTTTATAACTCTGTATCCTGTATGTTAACTCCTGTGTTATTTTCAGCACAGTGATGAGTATTAATTACAAACAACTAACAAACGTGCTTCCGATAAAAAAGTTGTACCCGTCACGTAAAAAGACAAAAAGAAAAGGAATAGATTGCGTCGAATTTGAACATGAAAACAATCAGGTGCAATTGGTGGATCTTTACATTTCATTGTCATTTTGTCTGAAAATGAATAGCTGAAAATGGTTTTCCTCAGGACTAACACCAATTTTAGAGACAAATAGTTAGGTATTAGTACAATTTTACTGCCTAATAAAGTCAATTGAAAAGCTATAATCATTTATGAACAAATTTTGGTTTTCGAAAAGTTAAGAGGTATCGTAGAACGTTAATATGTAAAAAATTACTCCTGATTTGGAAACCCACTATTCTTAAAATATTTAAAGTAGCTACGCGACTGAATGCTTTTATGAATAAATAAATGCAAGCCTTGTTGTTAAGGAGCAAGAAAATATATCAGGTTGAAAAATTACTTATGTTATGTCATCCAAAAATGAACGTATCGAAGCTGCTCGGGAATTTTCTGCGAGGCCTTCAAACAACGCCCTTCCCCAAGGAACAGTTCTCAAGGCTGAACATGTCGAGACCAAAGCAAACGCAACGAACATTCGAGATGAAAAGAACTTCGCCTCTCCAGCGCATGAAGCTGCTATTGGCGATTTCAAGCTGGGGGATGGTAAAGATGAAGGCAGATCGCAATGCAAAAATTGTGCTTCTTGCGATGAAGATCGTAATAATACAGTTGCGTCGGTAGATGGAGGCTCTCTAGCTCCTAAAATCTTTGCACAGAAAGAAAAAATTTCAATAAATCGACACTACAGCGGGCCTCTAGCTGAGAACTGTTGCACTATCAAATCAGCATTTTGGATATCTCCCCACCCCTCTGATATTGAGTATCCATTCTATCTTCTATGTGAAAACAGTGATGAATATTTTCAAAACAAGGATATTTTCCGCAGAATAAAGAACCTTTTTTTATCTGATAGACAGGAAACCGACGATGATAAAGAGGCATCGGATGCAACTGAGACGAGAGAAAACTCTCAAAATCACAATTCATTCCAGTCCACAAATGAGACAAAAACTGAAAATACGAAAATAATTGCAGAGCATGGTTCAGAGCCTGCAGTTTCCGCTGCTGCACGTCACAATTACCAATCAACGGTGCGTCTCGACGAAAATTACGCGGTTGCTGGAAAGAATACCAAGTACTTGTGTGAGTCGTCCAATATTCAGTTGCCAACTGTGGTAACGTTTGCGGGAGCGAGCGATGTGCAAAAAGGTGAATCGCACGCTAGTGAACCTGCCAGTCCAACCGGAGCAACAAAATTGTTCCTAATCGATCGGAGCTATGATAATCATACCAGATCCGAAAATAGCACGTCGACCATGCATGTCGACCCCCTATCCAAAACCTCTAACCGCTCGAAACCAGGCGTAATGATGCAGTGCTATTGCAAAAACCAGTTTCATCGTGGAATAGTTGGAGAAGCGAGCATCAATGTAGATACAACAACGAAGCCAGAGGAAACGCCTGTTTTTGCCAATGATCGATCAATACGTGTTGAATTTAGGGAGCTCCGAGGAAAATGCGGAGAAGTTCCAGAATATTATCCCAATGATAGTTCAAAACAAGTTAGAAGTGCTGATTTCACAAGTGACAATGAACTCAATGTGTCGCAGATGCGAGTTAACCAGGAACAAGGTTTCCCGTCTAGTTCAAGGTCACCAGCAACACTGGTGGGAACGATACAGTCACACCCTGGCAACGATGGCTGGGGATCTGTCACGAGGACCCAGGTGAGTGTCAGTTCTGATGCTGCTTTGCTGCATAGCTTTTACTCGTTAAATTCATTCAATTGATTAGTATGCATAATTAAATTTTGTGCATTTTTACATTTACACTTTGTCATGATATCATATGAATCTTGTTATAGTACCGTATTTACCAGTGACGAAACAATGATATTTAAAAATTAGTAATGTGATTTCTCAATTTGAAGTTTGACGGTCGAGTAAGATAAGTGCTTCTGTAGCGTAGCAATATCGAGTAAGCCAGCTTCTGTAGCAATATCGGTCAACGTAGGTTTCTTACGTTTTCCACAAATTTGAGTATAATGTTTTTTGTACATACTCGAATCATCCAAGTGCTGCAATTGATTCTGTCGCATTGCGTGTTTTCTGTAGAATTTCTTTGTAAAAAATACTCATTTCAAGAATATTCAATTACATTACAACCAACTACTGTCTCATATTTATTTGATTTAACACGAAATCATCTGGAAAGGAGTCGGAATTTAATGTATTTTGAATGGATGCTAATTTAGATGTTATAATTGTGTTTGACAACTAATCATTCAACTCGACTGAATCGAGATCGCTTCGATTTTAGCATTTTATGCATCAATTCTGAAGTAGAGATATCGCTTGATGATCGTCGCCTTACAATACTGAATGAGTAAAATTAAGACTAGTGCGTCATTTATATTAATAACATGCGTCTACTCAACAAACTTGAAATAATTAGACGATTGCTCAGATTACTATAATTACTCAGATTAGAAATTAGTCTAGGATTGCTCAGAATTAATCAACGGGTTATTATGTACAAAAATTTTATGGTGAAGTTTGCTATGTTTACACCGATATTTCAATTGTACTTCTATCCAAAACGGTAGAATCCTAAATTGCTGTTGTTTGTTAATTCCTGAATTTTGCCTCAAAATTTCTTCATAATTTTCTACAATTTTTGAGGCGCCTTGTCAAGGTTTCGAAATATTGTGCATGCAGCGTAAGTTTTTCTGCCCATAAGAAATATCGAAGCATCGTTTCAGGGTAGTACTTAACAGCTCGGAATTTTTGACGCCCCTTCATCCAAGCCTGCAATTTGAGAGACTCGAGTGATTTGGATCCCGAAACCGGAATAGGACAAGGAATTATCAAACTTAGGTCCAGGCGATGAAGCATATTGTGTTTTTTAAACTCTAAACTTCATTTTCCTGGAAATTGTACTTAGTTTTTCAGTCAATTGTGAAAAATTACTGCTCGATTGTTGCACTGTTTTTTTTTGTGTATTTCAGGCGACAAGCGGATCTCCGGCTTCCCAGATTCTTTCTTTACCTTTTGACCCGGGAGTTATTTTTTGTCCATGTGACGGCAAACTAATTGCTGCGGCGCTTCATCGCTTGGCATAAGCCTTTTCCTCTTATCAATTTTACTATTACATTTTTTAAACTTGTTCTCTCCTGCATCACATCTTTTCTTATGACGCATGCGAGGAACGCAACGGCTAACATGGAAGAACTTAAAAAGACTGAGGCATAAGTCCTGAATAAGCTATATTTATATTTATAAGGTCTACTAGACACAAGCAATATTTGAGTTAGTTGGCAATTTACTGATACTTTCAATGGTTCGGTCTGAACGACATAACAATAAACTTGTTTGACTATTGATGTAAAGTGGCCTTAAATGTCGTATGAATTATCACTGGTCACAATTATCACTAGTCATGATTATCATTATTCACAATTCTCGCTAGTCAAAATTTGTCAAAACTACCGATACAGTTACAATTTTTTCCCCACTATATGTCAATGTTGAGTTTACTCTAATATCAGTTGCTAATTTATTAGCGTGTATAAGTGCAGTTTAGTTTGTTTTGGTGCTGTGTGCGGACACGCTAATTGCCCTCAAGCTATAAGGAATCCTGGAGTTCCCCATGCATGTTCGGTATGCTCAACCTGCAGTTTTTTGGCCGTCTTGGGAGGTACAAGCTTCGTTCGTGAATTTAAAATTTTCAAAGTGTAATTTTGAGTTGTGTAGCAAATTCACGTACGCGTGTCTAATTAATTTCTTATTTCATAGAAGTACTGAACAAGTTTCACTCAGTATATATACTGTATGTTGAAAGGTAAAAAATAACGCTTGCAACATGTAAGCCAGGAACGACGGATTTCGACTTCTATGCAGCGAATTCTTAAACGATTCCGAACTAATTTTTTTTCTTCGATTGACTCGCACGTCTAAACTCAGATTTTGAATTTGTTTCTGCAATTTTCAGTTGATAAATGCAATATAGTTCTAAATTTGGTACCATCACAGCATCCTAAATTTCATTTTAATCGTTACGGTCGTAAGCCGCGCGATGTTTGAATGGGTTGGACGTGTTTGTCTTACTCGAATGACTTTTTGTCATCTTGCATCTTAATTGATGCAAATTTTAGTCATTTTGTATCATCGCCGCTTTAATTTCAGTAATCATTATCATACATCGTTTTCCATCAAACTCTGTCATCAATCGCGCAATTTATTATTTACAAACCTTCGAAATTATTTTTTTAACTCCTGTGTGCCATATCCTGTGTGCGTTGATATCGACTGCGAGTTAGCGGAGACGTGAGTGAGGCAACCTAACTGACCAATTGCAATAAAGTTGACGCCAAGAGCAGCAAAGGCTTACGTACTTTAACGTCACTGATAGGTACAAAGGACCGAAGAAGCAATCGCTTCATGATCAATCTACGTGCGTATAAAACTTCAGCAAAACGGGAAAACTTGTTAGGCTAAATTGATTGAGCGGAAATAATATTGGTCCCAAAACAAAACAGCCTTTAGTTTATGAGTATCTCACAGATTTTTTGTTAGCACTGCTTTATCATTAGTCACTTACGTCCAGCACGCTTGCCTAAACTTGAAAATTCCAAGCGACATCGCTAGTGATTTTATGAGAATGAGTGCGGACCGGGCAGGTGCAAGCTCCGATGAATTATGGTCGCGGTTGTGGTTAAAAGTGAATATTTTATTCTCTGGCATTATTGTTTTGCATAATAGCATCACAAATTCACGATTACTTCCAAAATACCACCAATTCATATTCAATGGATGATAACACTTCTTCAATAACGAGTCTTACTACGTAATTGCCACGTGAATTTATGTGAATACAAGCTAAAATTTCTCTGAACGTCCAACTCATGGTTATAACGGATGCGTTAACCGTCTCCATTGCTATCCGTTCCTAAAGACACGGCCACGAGCGCTACCATCAGTAGGCGCTGGGTTAAGATCGTTATGGAATTGCAATAAAAAATAATTCGGTTGAAAAATTATTTAGAAGTACAGGGCAATTCACAGAAACTTCCTGTTTTATATTTTTCGTCAAGCAGAAAGATGTTCTAGGAAAAGGCGAAGAGTATTCCATATGAAAACAAGGTCATGAAATTTTGTGTCCCGCCTAGTCAGTTGGCCAAGCATTGGACAAGTAAGCAGCGAGCGTTAGCTATAGAGGCGAGCTTTTCTAATGGCCGTTTTGCAGAGCGCCTCACCTTAGAATTAGATGGTCACCTCTACTTGAGTGGTGACCTTTGTCCGGCCCTATCCCCCGTTTTGGCTCCGTATGATTTTTTATGGAGTTATCTTAAATAAATTGTTTACAATGACTGTCTAAGAACCCTACCTCATTTGAAGAACAACATACGCCAAGCCTTCGCCAATAAACCCGTCAATATTCTTCAACGAGTCGAACGGAACTTTAGAAATCTGATTAAGTAAACGGGCAATAGGGGCCATTATTTGTCCGATGTCATCTTCAAAACTAAATAACACAAAAATGTCGGTAATGTACTTTTCAGTAAAATTCATATTGTTAAGATATCTTTACCAGCTCTTTTTTATTGACCCTTTGAATCAGAAAGTTTCCGTGAAACACCCTGTATATTAAATCGTAACTGACATAAATAAGACATTCCCAAACCATAATAACTTCAAACCAATCAAATGTATCTAGTATTGTTTTAGGACGAATAATAACTGTTTGCGTAACTGTCTATTAAGAATCCTTTATCAAATAATGACGCAGAAAAAAAGGATTAACCAGACTTTGAAAGGTATCAAATTTGACACAAAGTTCCGTACAATTAACAGTTACACTACAAAACCAATCTCAGACGGGCGTGGACGAGGCTTAACGTGTTAAGCCCGTTCACACGTTCGAAGGGTCCATACTTTCAAAGCTCGCTAAGTGAACGTAAGGTTAAGTACATACGCTCTATTTTCTTATCTATGATTGGTGGATTTTGCTTGAAAGGCCGCCAATGATTGGCTGATGAACTTACGATCTCTTAACTTTTTTTGAAAGTATGGCCCCAGAGTACCAAGATTGGCTCAGAGAGGTGCGGGTTCGATGGTTCGATCCCAGCTCTGCGCGACAGTTTCTTGTCAGAATCAGCTAAGAGACCGGGCGGCTAAAGCATGGCAGAATTGAAGCAGTGAGTTGTATGTTCGAGACTGCAACAAGCTGTGAATGCTCTGCGATGTTAAGAATTGGCGACAGGCCTACGGCCTAATAAATGCTGAAACAGCTATATCAAGTACCTCTGTACACGAGTATCGACTAGTGGCGGTTCCGATTCGTCACTTATAGTGACTGCCAGATGTTCACCGCAAACGCACCGATAGCATAGACTCTGGACGAGAAATGTAGATCTTTTGTTCTTCATGGTCTTCAACAGACTTATCTTCTTCAAAGGTCTGACGGAGGCTCAAGAAAATGAATCACGAACGAATGTATTGCGTCAACAAATTTTCATAACTTTATCACTAAAGGCGTAATGGTACATGGCGTCATTTCATGCCATTTTGATGGCGTAATTTCATGAATAGTCAATTCTGTGTTTAAATGAAGTAGATCTACTCGTTACTGAATTATCGTTAAAACGTCTGTCTTAAATTTATGCGATAAAAAGTACCAATAATATTTCGATAATTCTAATTTTTGCGAAGGACATCGCTGGCTGTAA